AGACATCGATTTGTGACATCACCGCAATAGTCGGGCTTTTGAATTGTGCCATATGGTACTGCATATAGTTTTTGCATAAATAATAGTATTTATTGATAGTTTTGCCAGATATAAATATGAAAAATATTATACACAAAGGTATTAAAAAATAACATTAACTTTTTATCGCGTTAAAGTAATTGAATAGCATTAAAATTTAGATCTAAAACACGAATATTAATATGAAATATAGAACAGCATAAGATGAACAGAATAAAATCCAGATAATAAAAAGCATGTCCTAAAATTGCGTTAGTGAGTATTTAGCAGCTAGTATATACCGTATATACCTTGTGATAAAGTTTCCAAATATTAAAAAATTTGAAAACTATACTTTATCGACAAGTTAAGAAAATGTATTGTATATGATAAGGGCAGAATACATTTTAAAGTTTAATTAAAAATAATTGTAAGAATTTGCCTAACATATTTAAAAAATGTGGATATCAGGTAGAGTTAACTATTATCATCAAGTAATTTGTAGTTCGATGTTCAAGTAACCATTTCCATAAATCGTAAATAAAAAGATAAAGATATTTTTTTTATATAAAATATATATTGCCATTTCATAATAATAATTTTCAATATTTATTTCATCCTGAATTTCCAAATCTTGTTTTCTTTCATCGGGATGTTTTCTCTTTATGGGAACATGCACAGTCATATAAGAGGGTCGATTTGGAAAAAATTGTAGGCACAGCATCTTCTGTAGGTTTTGGACGTGACTTAGTTACAGTTAATATTGTTGGGAAAGAGAATGTAGACAGATCCTGAGTACTTATTATAATTGCTGCTACAAGGCACAGACACAGAACAATGTCGCGGCATTTTTTATTTCACAAAGTAAAAATAAAGAAACGACAACTGTTTTACCTAAAAATACACGTCACTTACGTTGGTTTAACACTATACACTAACACTAACGCTATTAATTATGTTTTTATATAAATTCCCCAACTTTTTCCTAGCCCGGACACATCGCCGGTGTTACTATAATTTTTACCGAAAGTATGGTTTTTTTCGCGGGTACGATGTTATGAATCGGATCTAGATAGTTCACTATTCACTCAAAATTATTTAGTATAATTTTATTAGCACAAAAACGCGTAAAAACACAGATTTTTTGCGAAACTAATGAAAACAATTGGTTTGTTTACGACTCCTTGATTAAAACTTAGTGTTTTTAACAACACCATGGCACCCTGGATTGAAATTTAAAATACGATTTGTTTTTAAGCGACAATGTCACAAGTTGACATGATATGTCATTCTATTCAGAGTGTCATTTTTTATCCAATGAAGTAGCAATATACCGAGGGTGCCTTTAAAAATCAAAAGATGTAATCATTTCCGGTGAAAACGGAAGAGACCAAAAACAATTGAATATATCAATCAATCCTAATTTATATCATATGCCTACTAACATACAAATCTGTTTTTTTATCCGAAAAAATAATAAAGTTATAGGGATGAGCCACTTTTGAGACGAACCCGGTATATTAAAAAATATTGTTTCATAATGTAATATCATTTTAAAATTCTTGTATGTTATTTTAGATTCTGAAGATAATTTTAGAATAAACCGGAATATATTTTTAATAAAAACATTATTAATTATTAACAGGGTTATAATAATTATGATTTTGTTACAAAAACTTTTATATAAATAATTATGTAAGAGAAAAATTCAGATTTTACATTTTACTAAACTATTATCTAAATAAGCGCCTTTCTACAACAACGCCACTGACTCCCAATGGGTAAATTGAGAGTTGCCTACCGGTCAAAAGTCGGTTCAAAACTTAATGGATTATTTAAGTCAAATTTCTTGCAAATTTGGCACTGGCGAATCATATTTTATAGTTCTTGAACAGAAAAAGTAAATAAAATAAACATTGATGGACTACAAGCTCAGAAAATGCGTTAATACAGCCGGGGAGATAGCGGCAACAAAGCTTTACCGCACACGTGCGACACGTACTACAAGGTAATAAATGAATGAATATGCGACCTCGCCTCTAATCGGTGTTGCCATATTGTAAAGAACTTATCCCTTTTAAATAGTATCCGACTTATAATTTAGTAGTATAAGGACTATTTAATACATCTATGGAATATTAAAACCTACTTTATTAAAATGTAGTATTAATATCTCAATATATGTGTATAACAAGAAAAAAATATTGATAATATTAAAGACGTGACAACATAGGCTGGATGAGGAAGGCTCGGTCGACTGTACCTAGAAGTAAACATGTGTACAAAAAAGATTGTTTGACCGCGTTTAGATGTAAATAGTGTAGTCTATATTTTATTTTAAGTCTATGGTGTCGACATATTCACCAGAGACGTGCATATGGGTTATCACTGGAATATTTTTCTAAGAAAAGCATGTACGTCACTGACTTTTTTAATGCCGATTAAAAGTTGTCTCTTGATATTTCGTCGATTTCGGCCTCCATGATGAGATAAACGCATTTTATTAATTTGCCTTGATCCAATGCTAATAGCAACTTTAAAAAAAATGAATATCATTAACTTGCGAAAGTTTTAAATAAGTACTTATTGATTCCTCATCAAAAAATATGAAAAAAAATTGTTAATGTTTTTTTGCAATTATCTTAAATAACATTATTTTTTTATTTAAAATTGTAGATTGGACTAATAGTAATAATATGTAATAATAAATTAGGTAAAATATGTTAATAAATCACATATTTTATTTTAATTTTATTAATTGTGTAATTATCTCATCAAGCAGGCCGAAATCGACAAAATATCAAGAGACAACTTTTTAATTGGCATTAAACTGCTTACACTATTTCGCTAACAAGAGAAAAAGAGTCAGTGGCGTACTTGCTTTTTTTAGAAAATATTCCAGTGATAACCCATATGCACGTCCGTGGTCAATATATCGACACTTTTTTAGCTTTAAAATATGTCGCATTTATAGTAACTTTTACCTTCAAAATGTCATTCGAAACGCTAAAAGTACTTGGAAGAAAATTATAATAAATCGAAAAAATATTGAGACTAACACCATGGTAGCTACAAAACAAAGCAGAATCAGACCTATATTGATATGAAAAATAAATCTTATTTTTACGTGACGAATCTCCCGACGAGAGATGGCATATGTTTTTAAACACAGGTATATGCTATATTAATATAGGTTTATTCACGCTATTCGACGAGGAGTATTAATGTAGTCAAAGGATTAGATTCTGATCCTTAACTGCTAGAGCTCCAATTTAAAATTGTTTTCAAAAGATAAACCCATACAGCACATCAAATCACATTTACGATGTGTTTACAATATTAGATGTAGACACAGGGTGACACAATTCCCCCGATGTAAATATGCTTCGTTTACACATTGCAGTTCAACACGTATGCACAAAGGTTAAACGTCCGCCTCACAATGTAGCCACAGTATAGCATTTACGTATACACAAAGTAAGGGATACACAGTATGCCGTAGGATACACAGTGCTTGTGTAATACGTTTAAACTCTGTTTACACATTGCAGTTGTGACTACCGCGTCTATACTAAATGTGCTAGATAAAACTACTTCTTATGAACGAATTTAGGAAATAATACAAGTTTTGATGCCTAAATTTTCGTTCTTTTTAAGAAATATTTATTCAATGATACCAATTATATCTTTTTAGAAAGAAAATTAGGAAAGCAAAACTTTGTATTTTCCAAAAGTATCTCGATCGTAAGTTCAAGAGAAGTGCCTTAAAATTGTTCCATTTTTGTTTTGTATTAAATGTACCATTTTTCTTCCATAAAATGGATTAAGTGGTTAAAAAATAAAATTCTTATATTTCTTTATATCATGAAACGCAATAGCGCAAATAACACAATAATAATTATTTACACCACAGAAACCAGAAGTAAGAAAACACTGTAAAAGAACAGAATTTGTATCAAAATGTATTAAAAATAAGTACCTAGTATAACAACATACTAAAATAGTAAACACTGGTATATCGCCACGATTTGGTGGACCTCGTTTAGTCATTTTTTTCTCCTCTTTTCCCTCCAAGCAGTTGGTTTTGGTTAGAATACTCATTCAACGAGCACTCTGTTGGACTTTGTTGTATTTTATTTCCAGATTAACAATCTCACCCTTAAATTTTATATGAAACTGTTTATTGAATATTAAACATATCTGTGTATATTGATCCATCAATAACTTACCGAATATCAGTGTAAGAAGTTCTTTGAAGTGTTTAAATCTTTCTTTCTCTGGTCCATTTAGATTTTTATTATTTCCAAATTAAAAAAAAATATATTGCAGAGCTAACCTCTTTATCATTATACGAGAATATTTGGAGTTTTCATTCATTGGAGTCAAAATTTGGTAAATTGGGTATCGAGTAAGGGAAGAGTCGCTGCTATAATATTAATAATACTCTTAGGAAGGTGTAACAAGGTAATTAAAAACTTGTGCTTACCCTAAAATCTCTTTTAAACTACACACAAACAGAACATTTATATAGAGCTTCCGAATGATAAAACAATAATGGCTGCTAACACATACCACTCCTAGAAAGGAGAAAGGAGAGAGGACACATAAGATACACTTGGTCGGTGTATCTACAGCTTTGTTCGGGTTCTTGTTATTACCGATTCTGAACCATCCTAGAACTGTGATGCGTATGCGCAGAAGGAAATATGAAGACATTATTTCATTTGCGCATGCGCTGCAGAGTTCTAGGACGGTTCAGAATCGGTAATAACAAGAACTCGAAAAAAGCTTACGTTGAGGATATCCACGCGTGCGCACACCTTCATTTCATGCTAGAATGTAGACACAACAGTACACTATTACAAAGTGTCTATATAGATATTTATATTATGTGTATACGTCACATTTTTACAAGGTGTGTACTATAAGCACAACTATGATACGAAATATCACACATACATCCCAAGTAGCACGAAATATTGGCTGCTCATTGTTTCTATATTGGCTCAATATTGATTCATTTTCGTTCGCACATCAATGTTGTGCCAATGTTGGGTCAATATTGTATTTTATTCAGTACATCTAATCTTGGTAAACAATATTGTACCCATATTAGTTTCTTAGTTTTCGCCAATATTGAAAATAATCAATGTCGGCCCATGATTGGCATTAACAATATTTTATTGTGACATTGGCCCAATATGCCTTTTATATTGATGTTTTGGATATTGGCATTTACATAATTAACTAAATTGGAACAATATTGAAATGCATTCTGTTTAGAATAAAATCGCTACCTATAGTAGATATCGATACCTGGGTTGATACTTTGACATGTGGCTTGCATCCCTACTATCTCATGATTTTCATAAAAGTTTGCTTTTAAAATTCTTGCTCGATTCCTAAAGCATCTAGCGCCAAGGATCGATCGGGTATTTCGCGTGTAATCTATAAATAAAAAAAAACTTACACCAAAGACTAACCAAGGCGATTTGGCGTATTTTAATTTATTTTAAATAAATAAAGAAATAAATAAAAACAGCTGAAAAAAAAATAAAAAAAAGCTCTGCCTCTGCCGGGGCTCGAACCATCACCCGTCGCTCCCGAATCGGCAGCCTCAACCACGGAGCTACACGCTGCTTTAGAAACCAGACTCTATTGAAGCATTACTTTCTTCTGCCGTTCCAATACGCATGCGCCGGCGCCGGGTGATGCTTTGGAATCGCCGCGCGCCGGGCCGCGTTCCGGTACCTAGATCAGTGTTGCCAGATGTAACATAATTATCCAATTATTATAACAAAATTTTCCCAAAAAAAATCTGTACCATAATCGATAGTTGAAACATAATTTGGTAACCTGTTACAATTAATGTTTTATCAACCATGAAATATATTTTTATGAGAAATAATTTAACTTTAAGGTAGTTAATGCAAAATAACTCAAGTGGTTTTAAAGTTTAAAAAAAATGTTAAGGTATAAAGCAGTAAATATCCGCGGCAAATCAAGTAATTCCGATTTTAAAATGCGGGAAGAGAAACCAGACCCCAAAATATAAAACTGACTGAGAAAATACGTTTAATAGCTGGTTGAAACCTATTAAAATTAAGTTAAACCGACAAAAAATAGAATCCAAATTTATTGCTATCATTATATTTTTTAGAGAATTCCCTCAGCCAAATATATCGCTTGTAACATAATTTTATAATAAATTCGATACTTTGATCTACATTGATCCATAATTTCATATCCGACACCTGGCAACGCTGACCTAGACGCTTTTACTGACGAGTTGACATGACATAAAAAGCTGTTGCTGTGACAGTGAAAGATTTCTTTTGTAAGCAAATTGTGTTTTTATCGTGATCAAATCAAAGTAAGTACTGTTGATGTTAGTTGAGTAAGTATGTCGAATAAACCTATTCCAATGCTTAACAATTAACACGTATAATACAAGAAATATGTGCTATAGCTATAAGCTGTATTGTTTGTAGGTTCACGGGTACCTAGGTTTACAACTTACAACCACAGAAAATTTTACTGAATCCAGCTTGAAGAATATTTCTTTAGTAAAAGTAAGTACCTAATATATTTTTTTTTCCTGTAACACACAATAGTAGTTTTGAAGCAATGTGTAATCGAGAGTATAATTTATTAGATTGTTAGGGCGCTTTGTTAATAAATATTTTTAGATTCGGTATTGCTACTTAGGTAAATAAACAGACATTTTTTAGGTAAATGTCGGGAAAGGCAAAAAAATACAGGTTTGTTAAAAGTTTTCTTGCAAATAAAGATGAGTCTGACGGTGACAGTCCTACGAAACGCCTGGAAAGCCAGGAGAGCATTATACTTCTATCAGACGATAATACAAGTTCTATTAATGAAGTTAACACACAACTTACTAATATTGTTAATAATAGTGATAGCTGTCTTAGTTTTGTTTTTGAAGAGTCGGGGGACTTGGGGGCAAGCAATACACAGACTGTAGAGTTAAATTACGATTCCATATCAAATGTGTTAGAAAATCATAATCAGAATTCACTTGCAGATAATTTAAAATGTTGGGCTCTTACACACAATGTAAACCATAAACAACTAGTTGCACCACTGAATAAAACGCTCCTACTTCTAAGTTTCTGCCACTTTGCATAAACCATATTATGAGCATATCATCTCATCATATTAGAAAATAAGGCAAAACACAAAAAGGATAACCCAAAAAACTTTATATTATTTTATAGATGCAGTGAAAGTACATTTTCCAGACGCAACTGATCTGGACATTACGCGATGTATTGGTATTTCACTAGCGACAGCCGGAGACCGGGATGGGGGAAGAATATTTAGAGGTTTGTGTCCTTATAAATTTAATTTTATGTGTTAACTGAAGTATTTTTTAGCTAAAAATAATACCAGCCATGAAGATAATATGTAGGCTTATTTTATTACTTAGTTAATATTTTTGTAAGATAAATTGTTTTCTTCAATACATTAAAGTTTCCATACACACATGGGTATTTTGTTTTATGTTTTCCCTAAATTTGAAATAAAATTAAGGACAAAAACTAGTGGTATTATGATTACCAATGTTGGCGTAATATTACATTTTTAATGGGGGCAATATTTTAGTAACTTGTTGGACCAATATTTAAAAACAATGTTGGGCCAATATATCAAAAAGTGACGAATTATTATTGGCCCGATATTAAAAACTAGCTTGGCCCAATATATATTCTACATTGGATCAATCTTGGAACAATATTGTTGTGCTACTTGGGATATGACTTATACATTGTATGTCTCATATACCGACGTCAGATTTTATCATATTAATAATTATTTGTTACGTTACAAAAAACTCTTTAGAATCTTGAGTGCATACGGTATACAACTAGTAAACACTGTATCACACAATTCTATCAATAAAAAATTTATTAAAATAAAAATAGTTTGGGCACCTAGGTCGACTCAGCATTAAATGAGTACTTGGGATTCACAATCCTGAGGTAATATAGGCGGTTGAAGCGTAGTGCTAGCCACATTACCTTCCTTGTATACCGAACGGCTCTAGTATCGCAAGCTGTACCTTGCTACTCCCAAGGCGTTAAACGCTATATACGGGAGCTATTATTATTATTATATAATTCTAAATAAGGTACTGAAGTTTTTTTTATTTGCTGAATATTGTGTTGTAGTAAACTAATACTAATACTTTATAGAGGGTGTCTAGAAATTATTCTAAATAATTAATTACTAGCTTCAAACAGCAATAATTTATTTAATTTACTTATAACACCTTATATGATTTGCATTCATGAAATGCGCAATTTAATTATTTATCAAATTTTATTTAAGGTGCTTAAAGAGAGACTCAATAAAATAAACTGATTTGGTTTAAATGAGATCTCACAACTTTTTATAGGGGAGCAATTGTGTTGCGAGACTTGGCTTTTTTTACATTCTATATGATTTTGATGGGATCAACATTTTCTTTTCCCTCGTATTACCAATTGATAGATGGAAACTTTCATTGAAGAATGTTGCACTACAGTTCAGCAGCCATACAGGACACCATGGTTCAAACAATATAAATCCTTGACAAAGCAATAAATAACCACCATGTGTCGACTCAGATCAAACCATTGCTTATCCCCGTCACATCTCTATAAATCGGAATTAACAGAGATAATTTGTGTCAGTGTGGAGAGGTTGCTGATGTCTTTCATTTGATAATTGCTTGTCCACATAATTATAATCACCAAAAAATCTTATATTCCTATTTCGACCATGAGATAGAGCAAAAACCGATTTCCCTGCATGACATCCTTTTTAAATTCAACAAGACAGAACACATAAAACAAGTCGCTTTGTTTTTGAATGTTAGTAATTTAAAACTTTAAATATTTACTAATAACAAGCCTAACATTAACTTTATAATCAAGAAAAAAAATTAGCCGCAAATTTGAAATGTCATAATCACATTTTCTTGAAATGCACAGTAATTATTGGGACTTAGAGCTGCTTAGTACTCGTAGAATGCATGCATAACTGAGGGTTGCAGAGTTTAAAGCAACCTGCTTAATAGCCTCAATAATTGTTAGTCGTTAAGAAAGATAAATCGATGAAAGTTCATAAAACGTGACCACCCAAAAAAAAAAAAGAAAAACATGAAAGTACTTTGCTAGATTGGTCCTGGCAGCCTAGGCAACGCAACTCTCTCCTGAAAAGGAGAGTTTCAGAGAAAGAAGAAGAAGAATTTAAAAATAGATACTAAAAATTCGAATAATTTAACTACATATTGCTTAAAAACTTATCAAAATCGGCCAGCTAGAACAAAATATGTATATTATACTTTAAAATAGTGAGTGTAGATAAAAAAAAAATATAGTATGTTTAGTATTTCATCTTCCTTAACATATTTTTTTTATTAATTCAATTTCTTTGTTCGCAAGAAAATATATTATCAAGATTTATAGACCAAAGCTTCATCAAGCAAAGAAAAGAACAAGATTTTGCTCGACATTAATACTCAAAAGAAACGTCTTGACTCGGTCAAGCGCACCTTCAAATGTGGAATTCCGATGACTTTTTTCCTCGCATGAGATATGTATGTGAGAAAATTTCGTTCTTCGCATCGTCTTGCCGGTCGGTCCCAGATTCACCGATTATTCGAGATTTTTTGTGCCACGCATCGGCCACTAACAATAATAAATTCCATTTGTAATCCGCGGATGTGGAACGGGCCAATAAATTTGTAGACTGCACCGAAAATCGAACCGATAAAACGATAGAGAAAAAACACTTGCTTCCCAAACGCAATTTCATCTTATCAAAACGATGCTATTGACACTCTGACTGACAATACTACAATAATTATATTTGAAAATAAATACCGTGTACAAACATAAAATAAAATATTATAATTATCCATTATAAAATTTCTATTATATTGAAATCTATACTAATATCACATAATATATAAAATCCTTAAGTGACTGACTCACTGATTAATCACGATCCTGCTCAAACCACTCAACGTAAGAAGCTCAATTTTGGCATACAGATTGATTCTAGGGTGTAGAGGTTCGATAAGAAGGAATTTTTCGAAATTGCAGTTCCAAGGGGGTGAAACCACCCATCAAATATTACAATATTTTTTATTTAGTAAGTTTCCGAAATAACGCTTAAACACGTACATTTTTTTTATATATATACTAGCGTGTACCTGCTACTTCGTTCGAATTAATTATTTGCAATGGTAATGATAAAGCAAGAATTTCCATTAACATACAAACTGGATAAAATTTTCTCACATTTATGTCAGCATGAGAAAAAACAATATGGCGATATTATTATATAACTTGGTAATATTTGAGGGGTAGTTTCATCTCGTTGGAATTTGACTTTCAAAAAATCCGTTTGCCAAAAATAAGCTTTTTACGTCAAGCAGTTTAAGCAGAATCGTGGTTAAGAAATTACCCAACTTTTTGGAACACCCTGTATGATTTTTTAAAAAATTTCAAAATATGTAAAAAAACCAAATAAATTATGCTTCCAAGCGTTCTCCTGAAAAACTAACCGTTTTTTAAATAACAAATATTGTAATATTTGAGGGGCGTTTTCACCCTCTTGGAATTTGCGATTCGAGAAACCTCTCCTTATCGAACCTCTACACCCCACAGTCAACCCGTTTGCCAAAAATCAGCTTTAAACGTCAAGCAGTTTAAGCAGAATCGTGATTACTCAATGGTCATATTTTATGAAACACCCTGTATAAATTTATAAAAAATCTTAAAATATGTAAAACAACAAAATAAAATATACATGTTTAAGAGTTTTTCCGAAAAACTCACCGGTTTTAAATAAAAATATTTTAATATTTGAGGGATAGTTTCACACCCTTAGAATTTGAGTTTCGAAAAATTCCTTCTTATCGAACCTCTACACCCTAAAGTCAATCTGTTTTCAAAAAATCAGCTTTTTACGTCAAGCGTTTTAAGCAGGATCGTGATTAATCAATGACCAGATTTTTCGAAACACCCTGTATACATTTTTCAAAAATATGTAAAAAACAAAATAAAATATACGTGTATAAGCGTTTTTTCGGAAACTTGACGGTTTTTTAAATAAAAAATATTGTAATATTTGGGGGGGGTTTCACCCTCTTGGAACTGGAATTTCGAAAAATTCCTTATTATCGAACCTCTACACCCTAGAATCAACCTGTATGCCAAAATTAAGCTTCTTACGTTGAGTGGTTTGAGCAGGATCGTGATTAATCAGTATGTCAGTTACTTAAGGATTTTATATATCAGTATAGATATCTTAAGATTTTTTAAAAATGTATACAGGGTGTTTCGAAAAATCTGGTCATTGATTAATCACGATCCTGCTTAAAGCGCTTGACGTAAAAAGCTGATTTTTGGAAAACGGATTGACATAAGGGTGTAGAGGTTTGATAAGAAGGGATTTTTCGAAACTCGAATTCTATGGAGGTGAAACCACCCCTCAAATATTAGAGTATTTTTTATTTAAAAACCGGTGAGTTTTTCGGAAAAACTCTTAAACACGTATATTTTATGTTGTTGTTTTACATATTTTAAGATTTTTTAAAAATTTATACAGGGTGTTTTATAAAATATGACCATTGAGTAATCACAATTCTGCTTAAACTGCTTGACGTTTAAAGCTGATTTTTGGCAAACGGCTTGACTGTGGGGTGTAGAGGTTCGATAAGGAGGGGTTTCTCGAATCTCAAATTCCTAGAGGGTGAAAACGCCCCTCAAATATTGCAATATTTGTTATTTAAAAACCGGTTAGTCTTTCGGGAATACGCTTGGACACGCATAATTTGTTTTGTTTTTTTACATATTTTGATTTTTTTTAAAAAAGCATACAGGGTGTTCCAACAAGTTGGGTAATTGATTAACCACGATTCTGCTTAAACTGCCAAAATATAATAATATCTCCATATTGTTTTTTCTCATGCTGACATAAATGGAAGAACATTTTATTCAGTTTATACGTTAATGGAAATTCTTGCTTTGCTTTATCATCACCATTACAAATGATTAATTCGACGCGAACGAAGTTGCGGGTACACGCTAGTATTTAATATAATAATTATTAACCCATTAAAATAATATTGGAATTCCCATTTGTTTAAAAATTTGAATATTTTACATGTTAGAGGCATTTTCGGAATAGCTTTCTTCGGTTTTAAATATATACATAAATATATAGTTACGTAAGGCATTTATTATTAGATAATAAATATTTTAGCTAATTTTCCTATTTCTAAATATACCGTTAAAGATTTATGTACAAAAAACTTTATTCAACAAAATTCTTGACTGAATAATCGACTATGATGTAAATATTGTTCGATTTTCGCGGTATTGGTTTTGTTCCTGTCATAAACAGCTGATTGGTTGGTGTGAAAACAGCTGGTTGGTGCTGAAATTAGAGTATGCTGCTAAATAATGTATTTTTTGGCATTATAAAATTGT